AAGGACGCAGAAGTCTTGTGCAGTGGGCCCCACTGCACATGTGGCGTCCACATGTGCAAAAAAGAAAGCCAAATCATCAAAAAATAAATTCACGTCTGAATTTAACGAATAAGGAAATGCCGCATGTGCCACGTCATTTTTTGGATGCCACGTAGTGTATTTTTTAACAGTGCCGTGACGGTCTGTTAAAATGTTGGGTTTTTTACGGGTTTTAAAAAGTTAAGGGTATGAATAGGGAGGAAAAATTCTGGAAGGTGTTGACCGTGGAAAACAATTAAGTGTAGGGTGCAAATAGGGGCTTTGGCAAAAAAAAAAAAAAGGCTGGTGAAAGAGGGATTGGAAAATGTGAGTCCCACAATGTCAGCTTGTAAGAAAAGAAAAAAATGATAATAATAAAAGAGGCTTGTAAACGTCTTGCCTTTAACGGCCAAAGACACTCCGTAGCCATGAAATGTACGGACGGGCGAAATTGAGCACTTTTTGAATGGCAAAGGAAGGACATGTTAAACTGAAATAAAGTAAAGGGAGGACACACATGAGGCGATTTCAAAGTACAAGGGTTAAATTAAACTTTTCTACATAGTAAAGAGATGACAATTGACATTAACTCTTTTTCTTTATTCATACATAAACAGTAATTTCTACGGAACACATTAATTTTTACTTAATACAGTACCATCTAACACATTAATTATGATGTAGAAGTTTGCTGCACTACGTAACACATTGAATTTTTACCTAATACACTAACTACTATCTAACACATTATTTATGAAGCAGTACGTAACACATGAATTTTTACCTAATACCGTAATTACTATCTAACACATTATTAATGACGCACTATGTAACACATTGAATTTTTACCTAATACACTAACTACTATCTAACACATTATTTATGACGCACTACGTAACACATGAATTTTTACCAATACAGTAACTACCATCTAACACATTATTTATGACGTAGAAGTTTGCAGCCATTTTGTGCAGCTGCAGCCCTCATTTTTGCTTTTGCTGCCATTGTCTTGGGTTCCGTTTTCTTCTCTTAATTTCGGATAGAAGAAGAGGAAAGGCTCACGGATAGAAGAGGAAAGCCCTAAGCTTTAGGTAACAGTTCTCCTTGTTTGCTCTTTTTTTTTTTTTATCATTATGTAATTTCAGTACAATTATTGAAATGAAACGTTAAATTTTGTTCTAGTTTTAGGGCTGTTCGGATAGAGGATTAACTTTTTTGGGATCACAAAAAAGTAGTATTCAAAAAGTTAATAAATATTGTATAATAAAGTTATTAAATACTGTGCAATACGTTGATAATTTTTTGGGATGGTTCATCTCCTAACAGTTTCTTTTATTTTTTATTAAAAAAAATTAATAAGAAAGTTGTTAAGTGAATTTTAAAAAGTAAAAGTAAGAAAAATACAAGGAAATCTCTTCTTTCCTTTTTTTAAAAAATATGGGAAGAAAAATTAAAGTTTGAGTTGCGACCATTGTTTTTAAAACCAAATTAGAGATCAAATCATTTTGATTTTTGTTTTTCAGTTTTGATGGTTCAACTAGTTAGATTAGTTAAAATATTGATTTGACCACGGTCAATCATTTAACTAAAATATGTGTTTATGTGAGCTATGTTGTATATGCTTTTGTGTTGGTCTAATGGTAAGAGTGGTTTTTGACCTTTTAAATGATTTGTGTTCCAATCATAATGTGTATATTTTATTGTTTATATAATTTACATTATGATAAATATATATAGACATATAACAATTGCTATATATTATAATAAACATATGGACAATTGTTATATATGGCACTTAAGGTCTAGTGGCAACAACATTCTGGTGATCCCTAGGCGAAAGAAGGTTCGAATTTTGGCTGTTCATTTAACATCTTATATATGATTTGATAATAAAATTACTTTAATGTAATTCATAAAAATTATAGTGCCACAAGCATGGTGGTTAAGGTTTTTGTGAACTCATTGATGTTTTGCAACAAAGTTTTGTCTAATTATTAAACCGGATGGCCCACATGATTCATTGGTTTTTTTGGTTTTACCAATTACTATAATTCTAAGTGATTTAACCACTTGCATAGTTTTATATGTTTAACTAGATTGAATTTATGACCCAATACTGGTTTAACTGGTCAAACCATCTGGTCTGGTTTTAAAAACACTGGTTGGGACTGGGTAGACCTTCAACGGAGACCTGCATTTTGCGGGCGGGAAGTTGGAATTCGGCCGGTTTCTGGCTTACTCGCCGCTTGCTCCCTTATTTATTTACTTTATTTTTGGGTTGTTAGAAAAAAAATGGATTAAAATGAGATGGGCCAGACTCCCTTAAAGCCCGACAGCCTAGAAAGCCCGTTAGCATCTTGACCCAAAACTTTTGACTTTTACACACAAAGCCGTGCATGTTTGATTCATTTCATTTAAGGCCGTGAACTTAAAAGAAGGTTTAAGTACCATTTTGGTCCCTCAACTTTTCACTTTGGTACCAAAATTGTCCTTCAGCTTTAAAAAGTACCAAAATTATCTTCAGACTTTCATTTTCGGTACCAAAATGGTCCTTCCGTCAGTTAAATGACAGGTGGCACGTTAAAATGCCAGCAAATCAATTCTTTTTTTTTAACTAATGACATGGAAAAAAAAAACATAGTTGGCATTTTTTTATGAGTTGGCATTTTCATTTAATTTAAAAATAATAATTCTTTTATTTTTTTCACCCACGTCAGATTTCTTCTTCCTCCTTCATTTTCTTCCTTTTCTCTTAACTCTGCAAACCCAAGCCTTGGGTTTTCTCAAACAACCGAGAAGC